CAGAGGTTTGGAAACTGTTTTAAGGAGCCATCACTAAGATAAAAAATGACACCCCCCCCGCCGCAAAAAAGAACACTTGGTAGAAAGGTCACAATGCAGAGAGGATTCATGGGCTGGAATACGGGACAAAGAATGTTCTAGAGTTAGCAAAGGAGTCTAAAGAGTAAGTACAGAGGAAATGTGAAATAGCAGAATTTCCTCAAGACCAGGTGGTCACGGAGAGACAGATAAAGTCACACAACGTTCACGCGAATCGAGGTGCCCTCACTCTGCCCTCGGCTCGCCCTTCCTTCCACAGCTGGGCCACTGGACCCCAGCCTCCCCTCTGCTCCCCACCACTCTTCCCCATCAGCCCTCCTGGCCCTGGCTCCCACGTACCTCCCACACCCAGCACAGACTGTCCTTCTGCCAAGAGAAATCTAATGTCAGCTGTCAGCAGCGCCCCCCCCCCTCAGTAAACCGCCACCCCCCCAGACCCTGGGAGAGCAGAGGCCCCAGAGCAGGGCACTGGAGTCAAGAGGGATGATCTATGCTGTGCTCATGACAACACAGAACGCATGACCCCTAGAAGCCCTCCAGAACAAGAGTTAGGGGGGAAATTCCTATTAGGAGCTTGTATTATTTTTATTTTTAAAAAATATTAACCTACAGCACCACCGAAAAGAAGCCATTCCTCTGTCGCAGTGAGCAAAGTGAACTAGGTCTGCCTGGCTTGGGCGCTGGCTGTGTCCTCCCCACAGCCGTGCTCACCTGGCTCACCACCTCCTCCCTTTGAAGCTCAGGCTCCTTGTCCTAATACGGGACAGTAAAACCTGCCTTTGGGATGGGCAAGGACAAACTCAACACTCATCGTGTTCAAATGAGTTCGACCCTTTGAGCCCTTAGGGGTGGATGCAAACAAGGCAGAAATAGCCCTGTTCCAGCCCTGCCTGGGAATTCCTTCAGCTCGATCCTTCCAGCCAGGGAACGGGAGATCCAAGCTTCTAGGACCCAACTCCCACTCCAGCCCAAACAATCCCACAGAGAAGCAGTCCGTGTTCTCACTGACCGCCCCCCACGGCCGAAGACCGTGGCCCTCACTGACCATTCCCTGCGCCGCCCCCCTGCCCCCCGGGCCAAGGCCAGCCATACACTTTGCATTCTTTCTCACTTAATCGTCACGACCACCCTGGGTCCTCTGTACCACGGGGTTTGCGGTTGACACAGAGGCCAAGAGCAGCCAGGAGAATCCTTGCGCAGGTGGCTTTAGAGTGGTCCAGGCTCTGGGCTGCGGCTCCAGACACCTCCTGGACCTGCTGGGGTGGCCGCCTGGGTTCCTGCCATCCCTGTGTTCTGACGGCAGATTTAGCTCTGGGATGGGCACGGTGGAGGCTGCGGGCCTGGCTAAGCTGGGGGGCTTTGCACCTGTACCCTCCCCTCATTTGGAGATTCCCAGAGAGAAGGCCTTGCCCAGAGGAACAGGTACCCTGTTGCCCGCAGGACCAGGACATTGGGCCCCTCTCTGGCCTCTGGGGGTGGGACCCAGGGCCTGCATGGTTTTGTGGGCCAGAGACTGCTCTGTGATTCAGACCTGGCCGTGTGACGGAGAGAACGCCTGCCCCTAGTCTGAGTCAAGGCATGTCCCAGAACAAAGGCTGTTCTTTTGTGAGGAGTCCCATGAGCTTCCTAAACTGACGGGGCACAAAGCCAGTCCTTCTACCAATTCCGCAGGGCCCCCGGGCTGCCTCACTTGGTACCCCCATCCTGCAGCACCCTCCCTCTTTCTGACTCACGTGACTAGTCACCAAGCACCTTCAAAGAAACTAAATCTCGTTCTCCTTCGCTGGTTTAAAACCTAGGCCCCTGGGCTCACTCTCCCGCCCTGGCCTCAAAGACCTCCTTCCTAACCCACCGCACAGTGCGTGATCCCTTAAAATGAGAGCCCTGGGCTGCCCCCCTCACCACCCTCCCCAGGCTCCCACACCACTCGTCTGGTCCCTACACAGGCCACACTCCCAGCCCACCCCTCAGGACCTACGGGGGCCTTAACATGTGTGCACAGCTTCCCCGATGCTCTCTTCCTGAGTGTGGGCTGCACTGGGGGGACTTGCTCCCAGTGAAGGGAACGCGGCAGAAACGATGGAGGACATCCGAGGCAGGTCATAAAACACCCTGTCAGGAAGCCTGGGTGGCTCAGTCGGTTAAGCGTCTGCCTTCAAGTCAGGTCATGATCTCAGGGTCCTGGGATCGAGCCCCGAATCGGGCTCCCTGCTCGGCAGGGAGTCTGCTTCTCCCTCTCCGGCTGCCGCTCCCCCTGCTTGTGCTCTCTCGCTCGTGTGCTCTCTCTCAAGTAAATAAATAAAATCTTTAAAAAATAAAAAACACCCTGCAGCTTCTGCCCTCCCTTTCCCTCTGATGGCTTGCTCCAGGAGAAACCAGCCACCACAGGGTGAGAACACTCAAGCAGCTTCACGAAGGTCCACATGACAAGGAGCTGCAGTCTCCCGCCCCAGCCAATCTGCAGCTGATTCAGTTCTGGCAGACACTGTGACTGCCATCCCCTGAAACCCTCAGCCAGAACCACCCACCTGACGCCACATTCCTAACCCACAGAAACCGTGACATAATAAATATCTAAGTTTCTAAGTTTTGGGGTAACTTGATACACAGTGGTAGACAATGAATACAGGTCTCTGCACGATGTCTGTAGCGCTCAAACAAAATATTCAACTCAAAATTTACTCCACTGTAAAACTGTATTTACAATCTATGACCAGAAATCCAAAGGTGGACGATCCTAGGACCAACAAGCTCAGGGGCTCGGCGACGCCATCAGGCTCTTCATCTTTCTGCTCTGGAGTCTGTGTGTGCAGGCCTTTGTCTTCTGGCTCGCCCCCTGCGGTCACAAGCTGACTCAGCAGTCTCCATTACCACACCTCCACACACCAGCAGCCAAGGCTGGCTGCTGCGAGAGAAGGCGCCATCACGTGCCCTGGGTAGATTGTGGGAGACGCCCCCACAACCCCCCAGAGGACTGTTCCCTGTGTCCTGTTGCCCTGAGCTGGGGCACATGCTCCTCTCTAAAACTTCTGACCCTGAGCTAGGGAGAGGTCCAGGCTCCCCAGCTGACTTCAGCTGCACCAACTAAATCAGGTTCTTGCTGGTGAGGCAGGGACAGCTATGGAACGAGACAGTCCGCCAACCCAGGGCTGCAGCCACGGCCCAGCTGTTGCTGCCTGTCCCTTCACCTGGGGCACCTCCACTCTGCCCTCTCCTACTCTGGGTGATGTCTGGGCAGGACACTAGTTTCTAATCTCTGTGTCCCCATGAGAATGCAGGGTTACTACCCACTGAACAGGAAAGAGATGTAGGGGTTCAGAAGAGACAACCCCCAGCCCCAGCTGTGAAGTCAGAGAACATCCCTTGAAAAACAACAGGGAGTCATCCGGGCACAAGTGTGAGCAAAGTCACAGAGCACAAAACCTCCAGAGTAGTGATAACCTGGCGGGCTTGAGGGGAGCAGGCAGGGCTCAGATTCCATAGAACCCGTTAACACCCACAGGCTCGGGAAAGGAAATGGTCAGATGTGTGTTGTACATGTCCGCAGGAAGCTGCCTGCTCTCCAGACTTTGGAAGCCTGGGTGAGTGGCACAGATCCTGGGCTGGCCTCAGTTCTGCTAAGCACCCCAGTGTGCTACCTGGGGAGAACAGTCCAGCAGCCCAGGCCAGGTAGGAAGCTTGTCACTTACTCCTTCAGGACCCCGACGTGAAGCAGAGCCCAGGCCTTTCCGGATTCCCTTCAGCTACAGGGCAGCCGCCAGCCTCCCAAGGAGTCATCAGCATCTTCTGGGAGAGCTACCACCATAGGAATGCCACGAAGTCTTAGCATCCCAGAGACCGCTGTTGAGATACCTAGTTGTTTTCTAGAACCTCGACAGAGTGCCCTAGGCCCCCAAAACAGCCTGGTGGGTGGGGCTCACACAGTGTGACACTCTCAGAGGGAGGAGCTGCAGCCATCACAGGAAACTGGGGCAGAGGCTCCAGGACCAGTTCTCTCTCCTGGCAGTAGGTACTTGTCGGATCCATCGCAGGACTTGGATCGGACTACCCTTCCTATCTGGGGGCTGCGTAAAAGCAGCCTGGAACGCAAGATCTGAGTAATCCTAGCAGTGGCGGAGAGCTGCCACGAGAAGGGTTGAGGCCCCTTCTCCTCCCCTGCCCGACCCTCTGTGAAGGCTCCGGTCCCACTGAAGCAGGCTTCGGGGGGGCAGGCAGACAACAAGCCTCCGGCTGACTGCCTTCCGTGCTTCCCAGGAACGCGGAAGCACCGGTTCCTGCAGCAAGGGTGAATACTCAGGCAGGTCCCGAAATCCCTGTCCTCGCCTGCCCGCAGCTATAAGCGCACTTCCAGCAGGTCACTCACTGTCCAGCCCACCAGGACCATATGCCCGGTCATCTGCAGCCTCCTCCCCTGCCCCGCTAAGGACCAGCGCGTCTGATCCCAAGTGGTCTCGAGACAACGTCCCAGGCCCGGCAGGCCCTCCCCGCGGCCGGGTCCCGCCGGGAGCCCAGCCCTAAGCCACCGCAGCAGCTCGCAGCCGCCGCCGCCGCCGCCACCGCCGCGCGCCGGGAGGAGAGGCGCATTCTGGGAGGCGGCGCTGCCTGCTGGGACCTGTAGTCCGCGGCCCGATCTCGGCCGAGGAGGCCTCTCAGGTCCCTTCAGCCCCAAGAGCCCGCGAGTCCAAGCGGGCCCGACGCCCCGGCACAAGCTGCACCGGCACGAGGACACGATGCCCGTCGGAGGGCCGGGGGTCAGTCGCTGCTGGGTCAGTTCCCCAGACCCCGCCCCGGAAAGAGAAGAGAAGCCGGGGCGACGGCGCCGTCTCGCGAGAGCAGAGCTCGGGAGCCACGCCCCCTGAGGGACGCGGACTTCCGCCGCTCGAGTGCGATTGGGCCGCTGTGTCACGTGGCCCGGCGGTTACCGCGGCGACCGAGCGGGCGCGCGCGGGACCTGCGGTGGACTAGCCTTCCTTCCGGAGCCGCGCTCGGCGCCGGGGGCGCGGGCAGCCCATGGGAGCCCGGGGCGCCCAGGATGCGGGTGCCGGCCAGGGAGCTCTTCCGGGACGCCGACTTCCCCGCCTCGGACTCCTCGCTGTTCTCCAGCTTCTCCACGCCGCTGGCCCAGTTCCGCGAGGACATCACATGGAGGCGGCCCCAGGTGGGGCTGTTGGCGCGGGTCTCGAACCTCGGGTCGGGCCCCGAACCTCGGGTAGGCGCCCCGCGCGCTGCCTCCGGCGGGGTGCCGCTGCAGCCCTCGGGAGCGGGGGGTCCCTCGGTAGGGAGCCACCGCGGAGCTCCTGGCCCGCGCTCTCGAGAGCTCGGTTCCGAAGGCGGTTCGGGGCAGGGCGAGACGTCCGGTCCAGCAGATGCCAGCCCTGCCCCTCTGCTGCTCCGACGGGCGTCTATCCGGACTGAGCTTCTGGACTGCGTGGCCCCCCTGGCCACAGGCGGTCCTGCTCTGTTTCTTGTGTTTGCCGGGATCGACTATGCTCATGATCTTCTGGAAGGGCAAGGCTCTTTGGACTCCGTGCGCCTGCATTTTCACATGTGAACGCTTGAAGGCGGCGATTTAAAGGGACGCTCTGGCCTAGTGCTATGTTGGTATCTTTAGAAATGGTTTATCTGCTGAGTAAGACTTCTCAGGAAGGGCCCTCCCCTGCCTGCAAGTACACAGTCTTAATGGAGACGTCTGCATGGTCACCAGTCCTCGGAGCACTTGGCTCTGGCCACAGAGGTGCTTGGGCAGCACGGAAAGTGCCAGCTTGGTGTGGAAGGAGGCAAGGGCCAAAGCATGAAGTCTTATAGGTCGTGCCAGTGGAATTGGGGTTAAAAATGCATTTTAGGCACAGTGGGAGGCCAGTAGAGGGTTTTAGTAGAGGAGCAATTTGAGTGGGTTTGTGTTTTAAGAAGCTCACTTTTACTGCTGGCAGGGAAGTGGATTAAGGGCAGGAATGCAGTGGTCCTAGAGAAAGGTAAAGGGGGTCAGGGTAGTCTGGCAACCTTTAGGATGGGGCTTTGGAGTGGATGGATTTGAGAATTAATTTGGAGGGGGATTAATAAGTTTTAGTAACCGATTGGAAGTAGAGGGTGAGGATAAAGCAAGGATCAAAAACGACTTCGAGATTTTTAGCCTGAGCACCTGGGTAGATGGTGGTCCTGTTTGATGTGCTGGGGGACAGTGGGAGGTGGGGGACAGCTAGGGATGGAACTCTTGCGTTGCGTTTTGCTCTCACAGGTGTGAGCAGAGCTGTCCACAGGCAGGTGGGCATGACAGTCAGGTGCTCAGGAAGTTCTGGGCTACAGGACCCAGACATCAGGGAACGGGGACCATAACAGGGCCCAGGGCCCCGAACAGTATCTCAGGAGAAAGTGGGTCTGAAGAAGAAGACAAGGCTTGGAATTGAGACTTGAGCGACCCTAACATTTCCCAGTGGGTTCAAGCGGTTCCCTGGCAGGTGGCCTGGGGAAGCAGCAGGTGGCAAGGTGAAAGGACAGCCAGGAACATGTGGAACCATGGGAGCCAAGAGGGGACTGTGGGGGAGTGCAAGGGGACAGCCACTGTTCTGATGTTGCGAAGCGTCAGGGAAGACGAGAACATAGAGAAGCCCGTTGGATTTGACAACGCAGAGGTGACTGGCTGGGAGGCTAGAGGGGCCTGTGCTGAGTGAGTGGGAGGGAGGAAGTAAGGACGGCAGCATTTTCGAGAAGTCTGTCAGAGAAGGGAATACTCAAGGGGAGATAATGCAGGGGGGACAGTATCTTAGAGAAGATGGGGGTTCTCTCTGCTCTATGCTGGTGGAATTCTCCCTGCAGGGGGGAGGAGGCGGGGGTCATGGGAAGAACCCTGGCTCTAAAGGCAGGAGAGGGGGTCAGGTGGGGGTTGCTTCTGAGGAAGCTTCTGGCAAGGTCATCAGCTCAGAGGGGCGTGGGCAAGGGCAGGAGCGTGGAAGTGTTAAGAAGAGAGGGGGAAAGGGGAAGGTAAAAAGTAGTCTGGGTTTGGGGAAGTTCAGCCGGATTCCAGCAGTATGGAGGATCCGTCTGAGATTTGCTGTTGTGAGCTTAAAGTGAAATCATTTTCTAGGGCAAGTTAGCTGTTTCGAGAAGGGGGGTGGTGAGACTCATCTAGAGTTGGGGTTTTGCCACTTTAGGAAGGTGGACAGAGAGAGACAGGGACCCTGGGACCTAAGCTGGACGGGGTGATCTAAAGCCAGGAGGGACTGACAGATCGGGGCTGTGAGAGGCCAGCTGTTTCCCCTCCCCTCTTAGGCAATGTGGGTGACCAGGAAAGCTCCTCCCCGGTGCCTGTCACCTAGATCCTGTCTTCTTAGTTTTAGAGACTAGCCTTCAGGCATGATGTAACTGGGTGATACTCTTTATTCCAGGAAATCTGTGCCACGCCCCGGCTGTTTGCAGATAACCCACAGGAGGGACAGGTGAAGCAAGGGCTGCTGGGAGACTGCTGGTTCCTGTGTGCCTGCGCCGCCCTGCAAAAGAGCCGGCACCTCCTGGACCAGGTACCGTGCGGGGTGGGCAGCTCTTCTGCTGTCTTCCTGTCTGCTGTGCACAGGAAGGAAGCAGGAAGCAGGGCAGCTGAGCCTCCTGCTCTGTGGGCTCTGCTTGGTCACCCGGCACGGCTGGCAAGAAGGGAGAGCTCTGCTCTCAGGCCACAGGGGCTCCGAGGCGTGGGCACTGTGTCCCCCTGTCCCCAGGGCTCCAGCGTGGGGGCTTCCTGCCCTGCTCTGCCCTCCTGAGCCCTGGGTTCTGTGCAGGCAGAGCTGTGTGTTTGGGATGCAAAGATGAGCGCACAGCCGCCTAGAGTAGGAAGGGTCGGCGGAGGGGTCCTATGCCCTGGTTTGCAGTAAGTTTCCCTAGCTAGTTGGTTTTTTGTTTTTTTTTTTAAACAGGTTTTGAATATAAATTGGCAAAGGGTGATTAAAACTGTTTCGGATGCTAGGCAGATAGAACAGGTGTAAAAGGCCTGCTCAGAGTGCTTCTCCAGCATTCACAGCTTTGTTTGGCTCGCTGCTAGATGTCACTGATTAATGCAGCAACAGTGAAAGTGGTGACCTGTTCCGAGCTACTCCCATGTCAGCAGGCCCCGCTAAGCGCACTGTAGTTGCTGGCCTTTGTTCTCACAGGCCTTGCTGGCTTTGACCCTCGTTTGCAAACGAGGATGCTAAAACCGTTGTTACCATGTTCGTGGCTAGTAAGTGACAGAATCAGGACCAGACAAGTCTGTGTAGGTGCAAAGCCCACATGTGTCTTATTCTGGGTGAGAACTCCAAAGCCGGCAGTGAATGCATTGGGTCCAGGCGCTGGCGGAGCTCCCGAGGCACCCCACCTACCCCCACAGCTGGGGTCATCTGCAGCCAGCTCTGTCAAGAATTGCCTGTAAAAGTCAACGTTTGTTTTGGATTCGGGTCGAGTGCTTATTTGGGACAGTAGGACATCATGGTTGGCTTTAAGCTTTTAGAGACACTTAGCTCCCTCGGTGTGGTCCTAAAACGTTTTACCAAAAAGTCTGTTAGTTTTCTGTGTGACGACTGGGTTTTGTGCCAACACTGACGTCCGGCTGCGGAGCAGAGTCGGGCCCCTGGCAGGGCAGCAGGGTACCGTGGAGCAGCTCTGGTGACGGCGCGTGGGAAACACTGTGTGGTTTGTCTCTCATGCTCTCCTTTTGCCTTTCCCTGTGCGTGGTAGGTCTTTCCTCCAGGACAGCCGAGCTGGCATGACCACACATACCGCGGCTCCTTCACCTGTCGAGTTTGGCAGTTTGGACGCTGGGTGGAGGTGACCATAGATGACCGTCTGCCTTGTCTTGCAGGGAGACTCTGCTTCTCCCGGTGTCAGAGAGAGGATGTGTTCTGGCTTCCCTTACTGGAGAAGGTCTACGCCAAGTACGCGTGCTGGAGGCTGGAGGGGCTGGGCCGGGGTGGGCTGGGGAGTCATAGCTGCCTGAGGCCGCCCCTGGGGAGCATGTCTCCGCTCTCCTTGGGCTGCAGCACCCTCCTCAGTCCCCGGGACCTGGCAGCCAGGCCTGCGGTGGGACCGAGCTGTCTAGAGACAGAACTCTGAGACGAGGCCTGTGGCGTGCGTCTTCCCCCGGCCCATTCCCTTTCCCCGTCCTTGCTTCAAACTTGGGCCCGAAGGCATCACTCAGCACGGCAAGCCGTGGGAGGGGTGAAGCCACCCAGGTCTCAGTGCTGCTTGAGGCCGTGCCCCTCACCCCGGGTCTGAATGGGAGAACTTCCCTCTTGGAATGCAGCGATGAGCCTGCAGGAAGAGGCTGCACGGATAGGCAGGCCTTTGTACGGAGGGAGTGAGGAGGGCCTGCGGGGATGTCGGCGTGAGCGCCTCCGTCCCGGGGCGAGGGTGGGGTTTGAGCCTGAGAAGTGGAAGAGTGGGTGTTCCCAGCCTCACGCCCCACGCCGCCTCACTTTTGTGTCCGCACTGGAGGCCGCAGGGTGTTGCTGGGCTGCTGTGCTTTCCGGCCTTTGAGGGTCAGATGACGTCTGTACTTAGTGAGGACGAGGCAGGAGTAAAGAGAAGCGATTGAAGTGGTGGGTGAGGTGATTTGGGGGTGTTGCAGACGCGGGGATGGAAGAGAGGCAGGGCGCCATGCCCCAGTGCCAGAGGCTCACTCCCTGTGGTTGCCCCCCCAGGGTCTATGGGTCCTATGAGCACCTGTGGGCAGGGCAGGTGGCGGATGCCCTGGTGGACCTCACCGGGGGCCTGGCAGAAAGGTGGAGCCTGAAGGACTTGGCAGGAACCAGTGGCCAACAGGACAGGCCTGGCGGCTCGGAGCACAGGACTTGCCGACAGCTGCTCAGCCTCAAGGACCGGTGTCTGATAAGCTGCTCGGTGCTCAGCCCCAGAGCAGGTAAGGCGGCAGGCAGACGGCAGCGGGACGGGCCTGCGCCCCCGGGCACCCCCACAGCCCCCACAGCCACGCAGGGGCTTGTTCTCGGGGCCCCGTCAGGACTGAGTGGAAAGCAAGACGTTTGTCCTTCAAAGCTGGCGTCTGGTGTGTGACCTCCCCTGCCGCCTGTCCTTCTCCAGAGGGAAGGTCCTTCTCCCTTGACTTTCTTCTTCCTCCTCCCTGACTTACGAGTAGGGCGAGGCTGGAGCGTCTGCCAGGGCAGCCGCCGCCCGGACACTCGAGAACCTGGTGGCGGCGGCATCTCCGGCCTGGCTGGCAGCCTGGCAAAATCAAACTCAGGTTTTCATTTGAGTGATGTCCGCGCTCGTTAGAGGAAGTTTCTTGAAAGGAAGAAACCCCGCCCACAGAACTATTTTTCCGTGGCCCTCGCGGCTTTTCCACAAACAGGCGTGTGTGCCGCACACGACATTGCGCTCTTGGGCGCCCACACACCGCCTTGTCTCATTCCGTCCCCGAAGCCGCCGTGTTTTCTTACGCTTTCCCTGAATGCCGGGCGATTTCGCACATTACAGATGGCATTACTGAACGTTTTCACGGTTGACAGCGTTCACATTTAGGATGATTTTCATAATGGGGTTTTTGGCCCAAGAACACGGACACCGAGGTCAGCGGGTGCGTGTGGACAGCGAGCGCTGCCGATGTGGGTGAAGGGAGGTGAGGGAAGCCCGCAGACAGCCGTGCAGACCGTGCGGGACACGGCGCCCGAGCTCTCCCTGAGAGTGGGGCAGGGCTCATCCTTAGCGCTCCGGGCTTCGCGGACACCCCCAGGCGGAGGGGGTGCTGCTGGTGTGCAGCTGGATCCCACGGAGGTGTCCGCGCAGACGCCCGGAGTGGTGGCTACGACGCCATTCCAAATAAAGCTTTTAAAGACGTTCCAGAACTTTCTCCTTCTCCCTGGACCGCCCCCCCTTCCGCAGATGGGGCTCCAGGCACCATCTGGCTCCTCCCTTTCCACGTGGTTTGACCCAGGGCTCTGGGGGCTCTGGCAAGTGGGGTTGTTTGCTCTCTGGGGCCTCCAGTCTTCCCCCAGCAGCGTTTGGTCCCACGGCCCCCGGCCTTGCGTGCCCCACCCCCACCCCACGCGGCCGGCCTTGCCAGGAGGAGACTGCTCTTCCTGCCCATCCCAGACCCGTCCCAGGCCTGCTGCCGACGACGCTTATGGCCGCACGTTTGAGAACCGGCCCAGCACCGGGCACCCTGCGCTGCCGTATCGGCCAGCCGGCTGTCCTCACTCGTCCACCCAGGCGGGGACCAAGGCCTCGAGAAGGGAAGGACCTGCCAGGCCCTTGGCAGCGGGGCCACAGTCCACACCCAGGTCCTTTGCCGTGGCTGGGCACTGGCTAAGGCCGCTTCTGAGCTCACTTGTCCACAGTGGTCAGGAAAGGAGCCCCAGTGGCCCGTGGGGATCTGGGTGTTGCTGTGGCCACAGTCGGGTGGGCTAGAGCATCCCACGGGGAGGGAGACAGACCTGTGCGTCCGCCCGGTTTGGGGACTTCCTGCCCACAACGAAGCTGTTCCTCACCCAGGTGCCAGGGAGCTGGGGGAGTTTCATGCCTTCATTGTGTCCGATCTGCGAGAGCTCCAGGGGCGGGCTGGCCAGAGCATCCTGCTGCTGTGCATTCAGAATCCCTGGGGCCGGCGTTGCTGGCAGGGGCCCTGGAGAGAGGGGTGAGTATGGGCGAGGGCCAGGGCTGTGCCACCGTCAGCGAGGGGAGAGGGCTGGGGCCCCGAGTGGCAGCGGAGAGCCATCGCAGCCATGCGTGTGCCCCGGCTAGTTTGTAGCTGGTCAGCGCAGTGCGCGGTTGGTCTCCCACAAGGCCCCTTGGCATCTGCTTGTGGTCCCCCGGGTCCGGTGTTTGGCCCTAGACAGCCCCAGGAGGCTGGTTTAGTGCTTGGCGCCGGGACCGAGGCCGCCCTAGGCCCTGGGCTCCTATCTTGAGGGTGCCCACGGAACGGTGGATGCCCGGTCAGACTGCGGGTGACAGGGACATGTGGGATGCCCGAGTCACAGTGCTCAGCCCAGCTTTAAGGCCTTTACTGACGCCAGGGACCAGGATTGAATGAGGGCCCTGGGTCCACTCCCCTCGGCCGACCGCAGTTGGTCAGCAGATCCAACCCTGGCTCCTGAGTGCAGGAGGCTGGTGGCAGTTCGGTGTGAGGTGATCGGGCACGTCCTTCATTGGCCTGCTCATGGGCACAGCCCTGGGCAGACGTGTCCGGAGGCAGGAGCCTCAGGGAAGGAGAGAGGGGATTGCCCCGAGGAAGGGCCGGCAAGAAGCTGGCAGGGCACAGGCCTCCCCAGTCAATGCTGTCAGCTGTGGGGTGAGGGGCTGCCGCTGAAGTGAGCTGCCTTCCAGGGGCGAAGGGTGGAGCCGGGTGGACCCAGCCGATGAGTCTGAGTTGCTGTCCCAGCTGCAGGAAGGAGAGTTCTGGGTGGAGGAGGAGGAGTTCCTCCAGGAGTTTGACGAGGTCACCGTTGGCTTCCCAATCACGGAGGCCGGCCACCTGCAGAGCCTCTACTCAGGTAAGGGGGAGGCCTGCACCTGAGGGGAGGCCGCCATCACCTGGGGTAGGCCCTTGGGGGGCGACAACCCACACGGCTCTGCCCTCTGAGGTCAGGGCTGAGCGGCCACCGCATCCCCCTAGGGGCTCCTGGGCACGACCCTCGCCCCAGGCCCTCTTCTACTTCTGTGTGCGGAGAGATGGCTTCATCCCCTGCCTTCCCAGGCGGCCTCAGGTGGCGGGAGACCATGGGGCCCCCTCCTGTAGGGTGCTGTAGCCGGTGGGGGTGAGAGTGGCGGGGCAGCCCGCGTGGGAGCCCTTTCCTGAAGCTGCTGTTGCTGGCTCTCCCCTAGGAAAGGCGCTGTGCCACACTCAGGAGCTGCCTGGGGCCTGGGTCAAGGGGCAGTCGGCAGGAGGCTGTCGGAACAACAGCGGCTTTCCCAGCAACCCCAAGTTCTGGCTGCGGGTCTCAGAACCGAGCGAGGTGTTTGCCGCTGTCCTGCAGAGACCCAGGGTGTGCGCCGCAGGCCGGGCAGGCCGGGCTCGGGCTCCGGTGGGGGACGGACCTGCTACGAGGAGCCCGGCCAGCTTCCTGGGTGAGGACTACCAGGCCGTGGGCCTGCATATCTGGAAGGTAACTCTGCCCTGGGCCCAGCTCCCTGCTCAGGGTCTGGGGTTGCTGGGACACGAGCGACTGCCGGGAGCCTCTCCGACCTCATCCTCCGGGGTCGCACACCCGCTGGAGCTCCCACAGCCCCAGCTCCGCCCAGCCGGCGTCGTCGGACAAAGGGAGATGAAGCAAAAGCAGCCCTTGGCCGACTGGCAGGAGGGAGGGGGGCACGGCCCTGTCTAGACCGGTCTGCTCTCCCCCAGAGCAGGAGGACTTGGACCCCGGGGTCGAGTGAGAGCCCTGGGTTGGGGGCACTTTGAGCCGGGCCCCGCCATGCTGGGGAGGGACCCACAGGTCTGGGTGCTGTCTTTCGTTAAGTCGTTCGAGAGGCCCTTCTGCTGGGCGAAGGCGGTGGGGCCGGTCTCCGGACGGTGGCACACAGTCCTCCTCTGTGCAGGTGGAGAAGCGGCGGGTCAGCCTGCCCAGGGTCCTGTCCACGCCCCCCGTGGCCGGCACCGTGTGCCATGCCTACGACCGGGAGGTCCACCTCCGCTGCGAACTCACGCCAGGCTACTACCTGGCCGTGCCCAGCACCTTCCTGAAGGACGTGCCAGGGCAGTTTCTGCTGCGGGTCTTCTCTAGTGGGAGAGTCTCCCTCAGGTGAGAGGGGCAAGGAGGGACTCTAGGCTGTTCTCCCCCGAGGGCCCGGCTGAGGAAAGGGGAGCGCGGCCCCGGGCAGCGTCCTACAGGTTTGCGTGTATTCGCGGCCCACGGCACAGGCCTGGAGCGTGCTACCAGCCGCCCTCCCGTGTGTCTCTCCCGGGCAGTGCCATCAAGCCGGCGGCCGGGAGCCCTGCCCCTGGGGAGGCCCTGCCCGCGGGCGAGTGGGAGACCGTGCAGCTGCGGGGCTCCTGGAGAACTGGCCAGACAGCAGGGGGCAGCAGGAACTTTGCCTCCTACCCGAGCAACCCCTGCTTCCCCCTGTCGGTCCCTGAGGGCCCAGGGCCCCGCTGTGTCCGTGTCACCCTGCGTCAACACTGCCAGGACACCCAGTGCCACCCCATCGGCTTCCACGTCTTCCAGGCAAGTTCCTCCTGCACTGGGGGGGCCGGGGGGAGGTCCTCAGAGACTCTGTGTCCCCACCGGTGGCCGGGTGTGACCGAGGCCTGGACTCGGTCATGTGGGCACAGTCGGCTGGCCGGTCCCATGCAAGGTCCACGTCTCGGTTTCCTGAAGTCTGTAATTCACTGGGGTCCTGGGTCAGCTCACACGGCCTCTTGGCCACTCCCCCAACTCAGGACGACGGTGTCATGAGGTCACTTCTGCTCCCCAGAACTGTGCCTCCCGCCCAGGAGACCCGATGGCGTGCCCCGCCCTTCCCCGTGCCCCACACCCCCTGGGGCCCCTCCTCTGGAGAGCGGGCGTACCCTGGGGGCCAGGAGGAGGCCCTGGCCCAGGCTCGCTGGGCAGAGCGGGAAAGGGAGGGAGGGAACCACACAAGACAGTGTGGGGCCCTGGTGGGCAGATGCCAGTGAATGCTCAGATGGTTCTCGGGCCAGAAAGCTGTCCTGGGTGGAGAGGAGTGGGTCCTGAGGCCCAGGTGGGGCCTGTACGTCATAAACACCACCCCGAACCTCCTTCCTCCACCTCAGCCGCTCTCGTTGTGCTGTGCTGCAGGTGGGACACCTTAGCAGACCTGTGGTTGAGGGAAGGGGGACAGGCACAGTGCCAGAGGTCAGAGGTCGCAGGCCCAGATGCCATGGTAATGAAGTGGCTCCCAGCCCACATGTGTGTTCCTCCTTGGGGCCCCACTTCAAGATGGGCTTGACGGACTGGTGGGTGCCCGAGGAGGGCATGGGCCCACACGATGGCTCCGTTGTGGGGTGGGTGCGCTCCGCCTGGGCTGCAGATGATGGGAGGGAAGGGTAGGCAGGTCTCTGAGAAGCTTCTGTACCCTTGGGAGGACAGGGCCTCTGCGCTCCCCAAGAGCGGAGGGCTCATTCTGGAGTCTTGCCCCGCCCGGGCTGCCAGCTGGGGCACCAGGAGCTCTGATGAAAGTGCCAGCACCAGGAGCCAATCAGGTGACTCGGGACGGAGCCCTGGGCAGTGGTGCTGGTGGCGGTCCCCCAGGCAAGGGCCGCCTGCCTAACAAGGGCCGTGGGGCCTCGGTGAGCGGTGAGCCCAGCTTGGCAGGCTTGGCAGGTCTTCCTCTGTGGAAAACGGCAGGTGTGTGACGTGGGAGATCCAGGCGGACGGCCCCAGGCTGGTCCTGACCCCAGACATCCCAGCCTCAGAAAGGGGGGGAAGCCCCGAACTGAGGAAGGAGAGCAGCAGGGTGGCCGTGGCGGCCCAGTGGACAGGCCTCCGCCGTCTGAGTCCGTGCGTCCCCCAGGTTCCGGTGGGGAGCCAGGGTGCGCCCGGCCTGCTGCTCCAGGAACCTGTCCTGAGCTGCGTGCCGCATCGCTACGCCCAGGAAGTGAGCCGGCTCTGCCACCTGTCGGCAGGGACCTACCGGATCGTGCCCTCCACCTACCTGCCGGACACAGAGGGGGCCTTCACGGTGACCATCGCCACCAGGATAGACAGGTGGGGCTTCAGGGCTGGGGGCCCTCAGTGTACGGTGTGCACCTCCCGTCGTCGCCTCCGCCCCGCCCGCCCGGCTCTGACCGTCCCAGCAGACCGGCAGGGGAGCACGTCAGCTTGCAGGGGCCAGGCCGGAGAGCGCGGCCGCTCCTCGAGCTGGCGGCCAGCCGGGCTACCTGTCCTCTCTCCTGCAGGCGCTCCATTCACAGCCAGGAGAGGCTGGGGCAGCTCCTTCAGGAGGTAGGTGTGGGGCTTGGGTCAGGGCTCGGCACCGTACTCTGCCTGGGGGCCGCGTTCCCGCAGGCTCCTCCCGGGGGCTGTGCCGCAGGCCGGTCTGTGCCCTGGGACACAGGCACCCTTGTCTCTTGCCAGGAGGGCCGGGAGGCTGGGGCCACAGTTACACCAGGGCAGTGCGGCCAGGTGCATGAGGGGGCGGGCCCCCGCCGCCGCCCACACCTCGCCGTCTTCCCTCCTGCAGGCCTCCTTCATGGCAGTTAGGAAAACCTAACCGGCTGACCCCCCGTGTCAGCTCTGGCGACTGGGGGTTCCGAGGGGCTCCCTCACGCGGTGCCACCAGCCTCAGCACCGTGGCGGCCGCGCGTGCTCGCAGGTCCAGGCGAAGACCCCGGCCCAGGGGGCAAGTAGCCCGGGGCGCAGCAGGTGCTGCGGGGAGCGCACACCGGGCGTCTCCGTTCCACGCGGCTAGGGCGCAGAGCTTCCCGGCGACCCTGCACAGCATCTGCGCCTGGCCCCGGAGAGAGGCCCTACAGCAGATGAGAGCATAGTATGACAAATCTTGTTTAGGACTGTTCACGTGCAACATTTTTAGGAAGTAACTTTATAAATAAACGTGAGTGCTGAGTGGTTGAGAGACAAGCCGTCTCGGGTGGCGGGGGGCTCGGCCCGCTCTCGCTGAGGAGGAGCGGCAGGCCCGGACCCTGCCTCCCCGGGGGCCCCCGCCAGCCGCTCCTGCACTGGGGGTGGCCAAGGCCTCCGGGACGGGCCGGCTGGCCTGTGAGGCGGGCGCAGCGGGTGCTGAGGGGTTTGGAGGGCCGGGGAGGGGTGGGCACACGGGTACAAGAGCAGGAGGAAGGGCCTTGCCCCCGCTGGCTGCCCGGAGACACCCCGAGGGGCTGCCAGCTGCAGCTGTCTGCTCCTGACGTGGGAGGAGGCGTCCCTTCAGGCCCCTGGGCCCCTGACCAGTTGGACGCAGTAGGCCCTGATCTCAGCCGGGCCTCTCGCCCACCACCTCCCACTTCTCTGACTTGCCAGCGCCCTGTTGTCACCGTCACCCAGGTGTCCAGCTAACGCGCCCCCCTTCCAAAGGAGGGCAGGGGGCCGGTCCCGAGAGAGCTGCTGCCCACTGCCCCACCCCCCTCCACATACGGCAGGACGTCTCTAGAAGGCAGGGCCTGGCCTTTCTGTGGCAGAGGGGCGGGATCAGAAGCTGGTGGCGCTGCGTGAGTGGCCCTCACTGCAACCCTGTGACCGGTTCTCTGGGGCCGAGTGAGGACAGAGGAGGGCCCCCAGGATCTGCAGCCTCTTAGATGGGAAGGCAGCCTGGAGGAGGCAGCCAGCCACCAGCTAAGCGGGGCTTCGGGGCCCGGCCACGGCCGTGGGGCGCAGGCAGTGGCCCCTGTGCCGGAGGAGGCGGAGGGTGTGGCCCAGCACGTGCGCCCTCCTGGCCAGCAGCCCCCGGCCCGCGCCAGCCTCGTCCTTCCTTCACGTGGCTCCTTGAGCTGACCTTGCCCCCAGGGCATCCTCAGTGGCTGCCCGCGCCAGCCTCGTCCTTCCTTCACGTGGCTCCTTCAGCTGACCTTGCCCCCAGGGCATCCTCAGTGGCTGCCTGGTTCCCCTCGGCAACGCCACCTCCTGGCCCAGTGACCTCCAGAAGTAGCTTGCGTTCTCTGGGCTTGGGTGTCTTTGCGGAAAACGTGTCCGGGCTCTGGCCACGCTCGGTGTGTCCCGTGTCTGGGCTCTGGCTCTCTGCTTTGCCCTGGAGCCCTTGGCCTGGCTCGGCCTGCGGAGTGGGTACCAGCTTGGCTCATCCTGCTGAGGAAGGGAGTGATGGAACGTGGACCTGTGCCCCCACCACCCCACAGTGAGACACAACCCCCCCCCCCCCAGGCATCAGACACCTCCAAGCTCCGCCTCTCTTCTCATGTCTGCCGTCGTCCCCCACTCCCAGCCCGATGCAGGATGCACCAGCTGAGCTGGGGGTACAGACCACAGAGCCCCACAGGCTCAGGGCCGGCCCACAGCTGCCTCATCCCTCTGCCATGTTGACTGGTATGGACTGGAGCCCCCCCGCCCCAGCCCCGGCCTGCAGCTCCAGGGACCCCAGCAGCCACGGCTGGCCACACCAAGGGAGTCCCAGCGGCTAGGCCCCAGTGGAGTCCTGATTCTGTGCACCTGCCAGTAGGGGACTGCGTAGCGTGAAGGGCCTCCCCCTGCGTCCGGTGGCCCCGGCCGACCCGGAAGGGTGGGTTTGGGTGTGTGCAGCTGAGAACAGCACCTTTTCAGCCTTCCCGGCAGACGTTGCCCCACATCACCTGTTCGGGCTTCCTTCTCCTTATCACTTCCTGCTTCAGGCAGGCAAGCTGTGCCCTCCCCTTGGGAGCCGTGTCCTGCCCAGTCCTGGGCCTGGGTCTGCTCTCATTGGCCTCGCCTGCCCCCTCCCCCAGGCCTGGCTCAGCCTTGGGGGCGTCAGGTGTTCTGGGGTGAGTATCAACATCCTGGTGCCCTGGGCGCAGTAGTCAGGGAGGGGGCCTGGCCAGGCAGGGCTTCCCAGGTGAGAGGCAGGATGGAGCTGGGTGAGCAGGCCCAGGCCAGCCAGGATGGGGCAAGGTTCTCAGATGCTGCAGGCCCCTTCCTCTGTTTCTCTGTGTCTCCATTAATAGTCATTTCTTTCTTGCTCAGTGTCCCATGTCTGCGTCATTTGGTCTTACTAGATTTTTTTTCTTCTCTAATATTTAACAGATGGAAGCTAGATTTGCTGCCTTTTGAAATGAACAGAAGAGTCACTTTTTTCCTTGGGACACTTTGGTGTCTTGGGGACCCCAACACAAGGCCTTGGACATGGCTGCTCCATCAAGGAGATGCTGTTTACTGGTTTTGAGGATGAGTTTTAGGGGGCAGGCTGGGCCTTCCAGCCCCCAGGAGTACTCAGCTCTTCGGCTCGGGCCCAGTGCCCACCTGGGGGCCTGAGCTGCAGGGCTCCGGCTGGTCCTCTGATTCCCAGCAAGTGCCATCTGTCAGCACAGACAGTGGTCACGCGTCTGGCCTGGGAGCCTGCTCACTCGGGCCCTGGGGGATACGCGGCATGGAAGTTTAGTCACCAGGCTTGTGCACGGTTGCCTAAAGCACCCCCCATCCCATGCCTGCCCTCCCCCCACCCCCACAGGGCCAGGGCTCAGGCTTTGCCCATCCTCAGCTGTCTGTCCCTTCCCAAATCACCCAGGAGGAGAGGCTGATAGACAAGAAGACCGCCCTGCCTTGGGCTGGGCTGGCTGCTCTGTCAGGGGTCAGTCCTGGTCCGCTGTGTGTTCGTGGGGCCTGGACAAGTGTGATGTTGGGGCACCGGGATGCGTGTGTGTGTGTGTGTGTGTGTGTGTGAGATCTGATTGATGTGCTCTCATCCCTCATCCGCCAAGTCCCAAAGAGAAGACCCATCAGCATCAACATCCCTCTCTACCCTGCTCCCCCATTCCTTCATTCTGAAGCTCCTCTGAGCATGTGTGGGGTGTTATGGATGTGGCCAAGAGGCCCAGCACACCTGCCCTTGAGGCATGCACAATCCATTAGGGATGACTATCTGCACACAGGTCATGTGGATACTCCTGATGGTGAGGGACAGATGACACATGGGGGTGGTCCTTGACCAGCCTGGGGCCAGCAGTGCAGGGCAGGGGCTGACAGAGGAGCTGGGCACCCGCAGGGAATGGAAAGAAGCTCTCTGTGCCTACGGTGTGGGGAGTAGGCTCAGAAAATGTGGCAGGAGCTGAGGCTAGAAAGGTAGGTAAGGGCCTTGAGGTCCATTTAAGGAGCTTGGGTCTTATGTTTTGGGTGGTAGGGAGCCACTGCACAGTTGTAAGCAGGGTCTGATGTGTGTGTATTTGACATCTCTCTCTCTGGTCAAAATTTCTGGATGGGGAGGGCACCAAGCAGAAGGCTGTTGCAGACATCAAGGGAGAGATGATCATGTCCTTGCCGGACGGGAGGTAGTAGAGGCAGAGACAAGAGGTCAGTGTTGAGGTAGAGTTAGGAGGCAAAATCAATAGAACATGATGCTTGATGGATTATTAATTAGATCAATCACATAAATCAGCATGAGGAGAATTGATCCCTTCCAATCCATGAACATGGTCCATTTTTTGAGGTGGTCTTTAATTTCTCTCAGCAATATTTTGTAGCTTTGAGCATAGACATTTTATACTTTTTCTTAACTACTTTGTTTTCTGACACTTGCAAATGATATTGTATTTTGAAAAGGGTTTTATTTTTCCAGTTTATTGCTAGTATATAGGAATACATTTTTTGTATATTAATTTTGTGTCCTATAACCTTCCTAATTCACTTATTAGTTCATAGTTTTGGGGTTGGATTTTGGTTTTGGGTTTGTTTGTTTGTTTTTGTAAATTCCTTAGGATTTTCTATATACACAATTATGTCGTATGTGAAAACAGAAAGTTCTGCTTTTTTCTTAGCTGAATGCATTTTTTCTTGCCTTATTTCTGCTGGCGAGGACCTCCAATACCATTTTGAGTAAAAGTGGTGAGAGTCACTTTCCTTGTTCCTGATCACAGTGGGAAAGCATTCAGTGTTTTACCGTTAGGTGTGATTTTTTTCTGTAGGTGCCCTTTGCCAGACTGAGGCAATTTTCTTCTATTCCTAGTTTGCTGAGAGTTTCTATCATAAACAGATGTTGAATTTTATCAAACGATTTTTTGCATTTATTGAGAGGATTATATAAATACTCCCCTTTATTTTATTAATGTAGTCAATTATATTGGCTGACATAGTAATGTTAAAATAAACCTTACATTCCTGGGATACTTGTTTGTGATGTATTATTTGTTTTATATATTGCTGGATTCGGTTGGTTAATATTTTATTAAGGATTTTTGTATCTGTGTGCATACATGATTTGATCTTTATTTTTCTTTTCTTATAATATCTTTGTCCAGTTTTGAAATGAGGGTAAAGCTTGCCTTTGAAAATGAATTTATAAGTGTTCTCCTTCTTTATTTTCTGAAAGTATTTAGAATTGATATTATTTTATTCTTAAATGTTTGATAGAATTCATCTGAGTCATGAGTTTTCTTTGTGGAAAGGTTTTAAATTATGAATTCAGCAACTTTAATAGATATAGACTACAAACACAGATATAGACTATTCAAATTTTATTTCTTGTACAAATTTTGGCAAGTTGTGACTTTTAAGAAATTTGTGCATTTCAACTGAGTTGTCAAATATATTTGCATGAAGTTAATAATGTTCTTTTATTATTCTTCTAATGTTGTAGGATCTTGATGCCTTCTCTTTCATTCCTGATATTAGTAATTTGTGGGGTATTTTTTACCTTGATCAGTCTAGCCAGAGGTTTATCAGTGTAACTGATCTTCTCAAAAACAAAACAAAACAAACTTTCATTTTATTGGTTTTATCTATGTTATTTTCGTTTTATATTAAATTTCCACTTTTTCTTATTTTCTTTCTTCTACTTACTTGGGTTTAATTTGTTGTTGTTTTTCTCCTAGGTTACCAAAGTGGACTCTTAGATCAATGATTTTAGACCTTTTCTCTTTTCTAAAATAAGCACCCAAAGCTACGAATTTTCCTCAAAACATTGCATTAGCTTTTCTCGCAAATATTGATAAGTTGTGTTTTCATTATCATTTAGTTCAAAATATTTCCTAGTTTCCCTTTGATTACTTATTTGACCCTTGAGTTAATTATAATTATGTGTTTAAGTTCCAAATATTTGGGCACTCTTTAGATACCTTATATATCTTTTTGTTATTTATTTCTAATTTAGTTGTGTTGTATTTAGAGAATATACTCTAGATAACTTAATTCCTTTTCATTGTATTGAGACTTGTTTTGTGGCCTAGCATTATGGCCTATTTTGGAGAATGTCCACACGTGTACTTGAAAAAAATACACACTCTGCTGTTGTTGGGAATGCTGTTCTCTTAAGTATCAGCTTGGATAAGCTGATTGATGTTGTTCAAGTCAGCTATATCCTTATCAGTTTTTCTCAGTTACTGAGAGATGCGTCAAAATAACCCATCATTGTTGTGGATTTCTCTATTTATCTGCTAGTTCTATTAATTTACTTCACATATTTTGAATCTCTGTTACTAGGTAATACACATTTAGAACTGTTAGACATTCTTGACAAGTTGATGTCCCTTTTTATCTCTGGTAATATTCTTTGTATTGAAGTCAACTTCGATATTAATTTACCCATTCCAACTTTCATGAAATTATCATTTGCATTTTCTATCTTTTTCCATTCTTTCATTTTGTTTACTTTTAACCTATCTTTATGTTTAAAGTATGTGTCATTTAGATAGTATATTATCACTTTTTGCTTCTTTAACCTAGTTTGAAAATCTTTGCCTTTTAATTGGAGCATTAGACCAATTACATTTAACGAAAGTGTTGATGTCGTTGGGTTAAATCTACCATCTCGCATTTGTCTTCTATTTATCTCATCTTTTCTTTGTACCTTTTCCCTCCCTCTTTTGGATTGAATGTCTTGTTTCATATTCCATTTATATCCTCTATTGGCTTATTTATTCTCTTACTTTTTCAGTGGTTGCTATTGGGTTTATAATATGCATATTTAACTAACTGATGACTGATTGGATGTAGAAGGAAGGGGGAAAGGAAAGGAAGGGGAAATTGAGTGTCAAGAATGGTAGTCAAATATCTGGTCTGGAAGCAAGGAAGATCATTCTCTGAGATGGGGAACTCGGAAGATTAGTGTTAGAGCAGGAGGTGTTGGCGAAGGGGGATGTTGTCAGTTTTGGGCAAGGGCACTTGAGGTTCTTGTAGGGCATCCAAGAGAAGATGCTTGGGAAGCAGTTCCATGCGTGGTCCAGCGGCCTGGGCTGGAGCCAGCAGCTGGGCTCGTGGGCATAATGGCGATTGTTGAACCAGCGGGAGTGAGTGAATCTGCTTGTGGCAAGTGTGTGTTGGGGCAAGAAAAGGGTCTAGAACCCAGCCCCATGAGCCCCAATTTAGGGACCCAATTGGAGAACAGCACATGTGTGAAGGGAGAGGCCGGAGAGGAAGGAGCAGAACAAGGCAAGTGTGCCACCTTGGAGCCAACAAAGGCACTGACTTGGCAGCTGGCGCTGGGGTCGCTTCGGGTTTCAGAATTCGGGCAGGATGCAGGGGCCCTCAAAGGTCACTGGGGAGTCCACTCTTTAATTTGTGAATGTGTCCATGGCTGGACACTTAGATCTATCTGATATCTTAGTAAAACGCTTAAAAATGAAGAACTTTGCCACATGCTGCTGGGAGTCCAGTAAGATGAGATGATGCCCGTGAGGCCCCTGCCGGGGTCAGTGACTGATCGCGCTGGGACCCGGCCCTCAGGGGCCGAGCACGGCGGGGCGCTGAGGGGCCGGACTCCGCGTGAGGACACCTCCTGCAGGAGGACCGAGCCCTGAGCCACCACACGCTCCGCTAGCAGGGCTCGGCAGACAGCTGGGCCCATGGTGGGGGGCGGTCCCTCATTCAGACCGTGCCTCCGGGTGCCAGACTGTGGCTTCCTGCGAGCATAAGCCCCACCACGAAGGCACTGCCTCTGACCTAGAGGACGAGGCTGCCCCACGCAGCTCAGGGCCTGGCGGGGGCGTGCTCAGCAAATATGTGCTGGAGGAAATTAAAGTGGACAGGTGGGCATGGGTGAAGCTGTTGGGGAGCAGGCTGCCATGGGTGGGCCTGCAGGACGGGCAGCTGGGGAGGAGAGAGCAGAGGTGGGGTGTTCCAGGTGAGGGCGAGCGGATGTGAGAGCATGGACCACAAAACTGTGTGTGTGCGTGTGTGTGTGTGTGAGGGAGAGGAATGTCAATGCAAAATGAACAAACCTTTAGAATATCTAAAAGTAAGAAAGGGTTTTATTTGAGCCCAGGTTAGGACAGCTGCCAGGAAATGTGCCTTCACAGGGAAGAAAGGGCTCTGGAGAATGAACAGTTTTTACAGGGCTATAGACTTTTTGCATCTTGTAAAAAGCTCAAAAGATTACAGATTAACATATAGGCAGGAATCAGGAGTTTTATCATCAAGGAATGCAGAGAGTAGGGCATTGATTGGTATCTCAAGGACAAGATGGTTTTCCTTTAGGCTACTCATTCACAAAGCAGGTGTACAACGCGTGCAGGGTGGGCCACAAATCAGGCTTTTGGTTTGAACCAAAGCCTGATTTCTAAGTCTAAAAAGAAATCTAAAATGGCTTCCCGTGTATATCAGGCCTTTAGAGAATTTTTCTCTGATCACAATGCAAACAAGATTCTGGAAAAAGAACCTTGAACTCCAGATTTTTAAAGTGAGCAACTATCAAGTAAAAAAATTAAGTTTTGCTCTATGACTCCTCAATGCCTGGCTCTAACCCTACCCTAACCCTGCCCCCACCCTGACCTCCCCCTCACTCTAGCCAGAGACCCAACCCCAACCGTGGAGGGGCCCACTGTCCTCCCTCCCCCCGTTCCCATCACCCTCACACCTGACTGTGCACCTCCTCCCCACCTCAGTGGCCCTCCTGCCCTCCGGAGCCCACCCCAGGTCAGAGGGTCGGCTCAAGTCCCTCACTGCTCCTCCCCTGGCCTCTGGTCCCGGGTGCGGGCTGCATCCAAACTTCGTGCTGGGGAGGAGCCCAGGCTGAGCATTCCAGTCTCTCCTCTCTGCCCTCCCCGCACCCTTGAGCCGGTCCCTGCCGCCCCCCACCTCCGGGGGCCTTAGCTCTGGCCCGGGCAGTGCGGGGTGGAGGCTGCTGCCCAGGCGGGTGGTGGAGGCCGCCCAGCCCCCCAGTTCTGAGGAGGCCTCAGCTCTCCAGGCCAGAGCGGATGGCCCCGAGCTCCGAGTCCCACACGGAATGGGCTTCATCCTCTGGATACTGGGTGGTTCCCAGCTAGTGCCCTCCTTTGTGTGTAGTCCCTGTGGGGTGGGCCGGGCGGGCGCTCTCTGGGCACAGCATCTCTGTCCTCTCGGCTCAGGCTCACACGGGCCCCCCAGGCCTGCCTCTCCACCCGAGAGCCCCCCGCATAGACACAGCTTAGCAGCTTAGACACACGCGTGTGTGCACGCGTGTCGGTGTGTGTATAGGTACACGCACGTATACGTGTAATGTCAACCTCAGAAATAAAGCTCAGTTATTTTATCAGCAAAATGGGTTTATCTGGAAATCGAGAATTGCACTTCAAGACAAGCAAGGAAGGAGAGGAGGCTTTTTTACAGCGGGGGCAGGTGGTTG